TGGTTTCTTGCACTTTTGAAAATATATTATCTTACGTGACATCGCCAACTACTGGCCTGGCATGCAAACAATTGCTTTCTGTCAAGATTTGTGCGCAAGGAACTGCTGTTGTCAATCTGTGAAACTTCGCCGAAAAGAAAAGGAAGAAACTACTTTGTGTTCCTTGGAAGAGAGAAAAAAAGATGTAATATGTATGTCGTTGGACCAAAGGGTCTGCGAGGCGAGCGAGGCAGGAAAAAAGTCTTTCTAAGAGTAGAAAAGAGAAAGAAAAGAAAAGAATGCCACTTAACGATTTGGAATGCTTGTATTCAAGCGGGAGGCTGCAGCTGGAAAATCCTATTGTGCAGCTCGGGCAGCAACGGATGCAGTCGATGAGATGAGCATCTATGCCGCCCCAACATGTACACAGGGGGAGAGCGGCAATAATTCCCCGGTGACGGGAGCGCACACTAGCTCCTTTATATCGCTCCCCCCTCCATCCCCCTCCCCCCAACACGCCTAATATCCAATTTACGGGCTCAGGCCCTCGGCCAGCGCGGCCCTCCAGAACGCAGCGGCCCCAACGCCAGCGTGAGATGGAATTAGGGCCAAGTTCTTTTTCTCTTGCCAAAAAGTTTGAGGCTTACAGAAATACGAAACTGTTTTCCTCCTTCTCTGTCCGTTCACCCGCTTTTGCCTTGGAAATCGCCAAAGAATAAGCAACTCGTAATGAGATTAAGAGACTTTTTTTTTTCTCTCTCTCTCTCTCTGTCTCCATTTAAACGACACAAATGTTTGTGTTACTTGGGAGATTTGTAAAAGTGGGTAGGGATGAGGTGGGGGTTAAGGTAGGGGGCAGTGAAGAGAGTCCATCATGCTTTGATGAGTGAGGGATTTATTTTGCCCCCCCACCACCAAAAGTAAAAGTTAGCAAGTGTATACATGCTTAAGAGGCGTGATATCCCCCCTCTGCTGATCTCCTTATCCTCTCCTTAGCCTTCCTAAGCAACACACACACACACACACACACACACACACACACACACACACACACTGGAAGCTTGCCTCCAGCTCAGTGAGCCTGTGGCTGTATTTACTAATAATAAGGGCTTAGGTCAGTAAGAATATACTGTATGCTGATTTATGCTGTGACCACTCGAGGATTATGTTGCTTATTTTTGCACTTTGATAAGTCACACAAACACACACACACACACACACATGTATTCATGCACCCTACACTTCATCATACAAACCGGACGCTCCAGAGTTATACTCCGCAGTCTCCACTTTGCTGCAGCGCTGTTTTCTGCCTGTCTTTAGTCGCCACTGCGATATGAAATGTTTATGACATTTAAGGATACACGGTTAGAAATTACACATGCGAGTCTTAATTTTACTGTCGCATTGGATCCAGAAATGTTACACTCCGCAGTCTCTACTTTGTTGCTGCAGCCCACTTTCTTGATGCCCTCCGTCTTATCTGAAACATTAAATGGCCGTGTCATCGTAACAGTGGAGGATACACGGCAAGAAATGTCCATGAATGCACTCTAGCGTTAGCCTTAGTTTTGGACACCGCGGACTTCTTCTCCATAGTCTCCATTTTGCTGCAGCTGCCCGGTTTCTCATTAAACTCAATCTGCTCTCAAAATACATTATTTTCATTTAAATATCAATTTTTTAGTGTCATTATTCTTGTGTCCATCTAGCCTCTCCTCCCTAGACCACTTTGATGAAAAGTTGACTCATATTTCTGGGCTGCACAAATGAGATGACCGTATAGCGAGGAGGGGTCCAGAGAGGGTTGGGGTCAATGTCTTGCAGAAGACGGGCGGCGGCGATGAGCAAAAAGGTCCCAAAGAAAAAGAAGAAGAAGAGCAGGCGAGGGCCAGCACGGTGCCATGGAAGGTTGCTGCTAATTCTTCCATATCTAAGCCTCTTTGCACGAACTCGCTTTGTCTTCCAAGTCACAGTCGTTAGAGCCTAATCCTATCAAGCAGGGGCTAATCTGAGGCCACGGGGTTCAGCCCCCACAGCTCCGCCGGCCGGCCCTTTACACGCACCATACGCGCACACACACACACACACACACACACACACACACACACACACACATCGAAAGATGCCACCAGACTCTCTAACAACAGTTGCAACAGCTGCAACACTTTGTCATCCGAATCTCCCCTCATGTCTAGAGATGGACTGACACCACTTTGTTAAACTTTTGAGGGCTCGTCGATACGAATACCGATACTTGATTGTGCAATATTGATGACGGGGTCTTTTGGTTGTCTTAAAAGACGTTTCGCCTATTATCCGAGGAGGCTCCATCGGTTCCTCCAACTCGAGCAATTGAGTGAGAACTCATTTTAGCAAGCAAGCGAGGGTCTATCTACCTCTTGGCCAAAGTCACAAAAAACAGTGTTGGGATGTAACAAAGTAAAATTACAAAATAAAATAGGAATGGGTGAGTAACGATACCAGCCTCATTTTGAGGTAAAAGTGCTTAAACTGTTGTAAGAATAAAAATGAACAGTGATTGCAAGACGTCATGATGACGTAATTAAAGCAGACATGACATCCATCCCAAAAGTTATTCAAACTTTTTTCAAAGTGTGTGCTCGTGTGTGTGTGTGTGTGTGTGTGTGTGTGTGTGTCGGCAGTGCATCAATTCCCCTCACATTCCGGCACAGCTCGCTCTCTCCCTGGGCCACCATCATCACTCTGGTCTTTATTTCAATGTGGACGACGGGCCCGAGATTAGTTATTGATCAGCCGGCATATAAATTATGCTCAAGTAAAAGCCAACAACACAGAGACTATGGATCGGCTATCGACCCGCTCCGATTTATCATCCCATTTCCACAACGACGCCCACGCCCTGCCTTGGGGGGGCTGAAGAAATACCGGAATAATGAGAGGAGAGGGACGTTTACGACCAAGCCCTGACATTCAGAATCTGTGAAAAACACGCTGCATTGAATGTGTCGTCCAGATTGATAACCGCTAACAAACAACAAAAGATGGACATATATTTCCATCTTATCCAAAACGAGATTAAGGGCAGCTACGGCAAAGTGGAGACTATGGGTGGAATATTATAGCATCAGGAAGTCAGGCACAGCGACTAAATTAAGGTTCTACCTATTAACGCTTTCGGGGACAGCGGGTCACTACAGTGGACAGCCGATCATGTTATCAGGTTGTCATTATTGGTGGATGAAGGGTTCAACGTTCTGAAATATGGAATTTTCTGTTTGCAAAAAAGAAAAAAAATCCAAAACATATGCTATTGATATGAAATATATCCTGTAAATGCCAGAAATGGTTGAGTTAAGTTAGTGAATATAAAAACATGGCGAATTCTGTTGAAAAATGGAAGAATTGTTGACTTTAATGAGGCTTTTCTGGCCAACAAAAAAGAAAAGAAAACAACAATAGGCAACAGCTGGGAGGAAAACACACATCAATTCTCCAGGTGTTGTCATTGACAACTTGTGATTTTCTTTCCCTTCAAACAGACACCTGCCGTTTTGGCGTCTCAAGGCCGAAAAGAAAACGGCGTAATTAAAGCCACGCGGGCGTGCCACCGTAACAAAAGACGTCAAGATGGATGCCTGTCACACGCCAACGACGGTCGTCGGAATTAACGGGTAGACAAATCAATCGCAGTCGCCTTGATTCGGATGTCTCTGTGCCACGTTGGTCTGCGACGGTCTCTCGCGGTTGGGAAGATTCCTTCTTGGGACCATGTCGGCGTGATTTCGGGTCGCCTCAGACCTCTTCGTGAACTTCGCAGAGGTAACTTCGGGGCGGGTCTTCGTTGGACATAACATTAGGTACACCGGCCACTATATGCAAATGTATTAGTGTTGAGATTCGTGCTTTTTTTTGTGCAGAAATTTGAAAAAGTCAACATTATGGATCTGAAATATTTTTCATTTATAAAATCATAATCAAGATTTGCGATTCAATCTGAGAATGTAAGTAAAAAAAAAAAATTGTGTTGTGAGATTTTTTTTCTGTTGAAGCGAGACAACAATCTTGTATCCGCGCCAATATTTTATTTTTTTTAGATCTAATAATAATAATAATAATAATAATAATAATAATAATAATAATAATTCAGGACAAGTCCAAAAAAATCAGAGAAATCAGTGTGAAGAATTTTTGTATCTGCTCCAATATTTATTGGATTTTTATAAAAGGGTAATAATAGAGTAGCAATAAAAAATAAATTTGTGCAAATGTAATAAATCTATAGTCATTTTGAAAACCAACAAAAAAAATATGAAGAAATCCCGAATCTGCACCAATATTTACTGATGGTGACTTGAAATAATAACATTAATAAAAAATAATGATAAAAGTTTTTGGTAAAAGTACATCGTTTAACAAAGTTTCGGTGGGAATAAAATTGTCTCCTCATCAATATTTTGGGAGATTTCTTCATAAGTGGATTCTTATGATTGTTATGAAGAAATGTTTTGGATAATTTACATTTCCTGTAAATATTTAAAGCTCTTTATATGAACAAACACACAAATATAAATGTAAACAATGCTTTAAAAATGCCCGTTTATTCCCAATTAAAAATAAATCTGCTTTCATCTTGAAAATCAAAAAATCATAAAGCACAATTGTTGAAAAGAGAATGCCATTCCACTTCCAGCCGCCAGGGGCGCTCACACCACAGTTTGCCACCGGTGTTCTCTAGCAACCAGAAAACAACAGCAAAGAGTTGAAACCATCAAAAAATTAAAGTAGTGACTTAATACAGCTGTAAAAAGCTGATGAATACGCCACTGCGTTTTTATATTTTTATATTAGCTAAACGGCCATCCAAAAATAAGAATAATCTGGCATTTGGTTTAAAGACCCATCTGCTGCACAGTCAAACAGAGGGCCTTTAAATATGAAATTATTACTTGGCTTTGGAAAATTACAAATCTTTCCCTAGACTAAAAATAGTGACTTGCTTAACAATAAAACCTGAACTTTCTGTGAGAATTTTATTATTTTTTTTTTTTGAAGGGAGGGGGGCCATTAAAATTTTAAGATTAGAAGTATTATTAATGGGAATTGCACCCTAAATCATGATACGATTCTTGCAACGCTTGGCCGTCGTTGCTGGTGGTATCGCTGTACGGCCGTTGGGCAGTTGATGTCCTGCGAAAACACCATTTGCCACATCACCACGGCACATCTACCGCTTAATCTGCTGCATGTAATGAAAGCAAACGGTTTATAGAAAGGATGTGGCGTAAATTGTAATATGATATCATGTTATGGTTTCCAACGATATCAATGGGATTGCGATACAGCACTAATTCATGTATTGCAAGAAAATAATCTACGCTGCATGAAAACAGTTTTGTTCCTTAATGTACCTTATTAAGGAACAAAACTTTTTGATGTTTAATTTTTAACAATGCAATTCATTCCAATTACAATCCAATACGATTGTCCAATTATGATACAGTTAACTGCAATTTGCAGAATATTATAACAGATATGCAATAAAACATATTTTAATTGGTGGGTTATATCTGAAGTCATCGCATTGCATACATTTGGATATTTTGCTGCAGTCTATACAATACGATATTATTATATTTTGCCAGTGATACCACTGGTATCACGATACTGTGATTCTTGTATTAGTATTAGTTTAGCATTGTTACATTCAAAAAGTTGTTAATTACATTCACAACTGAATGCAAATCATTAAAAAACCTTTTTATTGCATGCGAATGAACGATGATACCTCATTGTCATGCTACGTTGTCGACAAACTTAAAACTGTCATTCAAGTGTACATACGAGCAATATTTGATGCTCCATATGACACTGCGATATTATTTTGTGAAGATGTCCTATCCGAACTCAAATCATCATCCGTTTTTTGTTTTTGTTTTTTGTTTTTAAGTCCGCCAGATTTTTGCCACTCATACCCGCCGCCATGAAAAGATGAATCTTCACACCACCATCCTCTTCTTCCCTCCTTCTTGACTCAGCCTCTCTCCTCACGTCCTTCCTCACGCTCCTTTCTCACATGTCTCCATCCCTGCCTCCCTCCCTCTGAGGTGCTGATCAATTCACAGCCTCCCTGCAAGGTGTGACCACCCCTCACCCGTGCATCCCGTCTGTCCTCACCCTCAACACTTTTTGGTTAGGGGGGGAGAGGCGGGGGCAAGAGATGATTTTCCAAGCGTGTGAAGCCATTAGAACACCTGAAACAAAAGCTGCAGTGGCAAATGTTAGGCGGGGGTGGAGGGAGGATTGATGGAGGAGGGGAAAGACAGGTGAGGTTAATTCGGCAGTCTGCTGTGACCCGATTGGTCACAATGTGAGAATGGATTTTATTTTCAAAAGGACTGATGCAGCTCCATCCTCAAGGCTGTCCGTTATACCACTCATACCACACATATAAATATGTTATACTGTAATATGCAGTACTATACTTTCTATATTAGAGCTCAGGCTTAGACCCAAAATCCGCATCCACTACTCATTTAGCATTGAAGCAGCAAATTTCAAATTGTACATTTGCCCAAAAAGACATGGTAGTCCAAAAAAAAAAAGAAAACTCCATTTTGATTATAACACTAAATGGAGTGCGCTTCTAAAGCGCTTTATGTCCACCATATGTGGTCAAAAGCGTTTGTATCAAGCCTTATATTCACTTCTCAGGAAACACATTGGAGTGTACACAGACGTAGCCGTGTCAGCCTGTGGGAAGGTATTCCTTTTTAGTTTAAAATAACTTACTTTAAGCTCTACACTGGCCAAATGGCAGAATACAGTGTTTATTTATATATATACAATTTTGAATCAATCCGCTTGCGTCATACCTGCTTCTAGCTAGCGCTAAGCTAACCTGGGTATTCCTGTATTTTGTCTCCCTTGCGAGGACGGCGACAGCGAGGAACAAAAGGTGTTGAGACACCGCCTAGCTGGACTTTAGTGACTCACTGCTTCATGGTTGAATTTAATACTCATTTGAAGGCGGTGTGGTTTTCCACAAAACCTGCACTGCCCATGTAACATTCTCCAGCAAACTTCACAAGTTCTGTGGTTTGGTCTGTGCAGATACGATATGATGCGAAGAGATACAGAAATGCAGTACGACACCGAGGTTATAATTCACTCGGATCATGATCCGATTCCTTTTCCATTTATGATGTTATCCAGTTCGACGTGATACGTAATAATATACCCCAAATAAGATCCGATGTGACGTGTTTGACCGCAATCACAAAGTGATCCGACGCAATACGTTATTTTACAATTACACGGAATGATACGACACAATGCAATAATACCGTACCGTGTATTTGTCTCACTGTGCTATTGAGAACAGTTAAGCTTTTAATGTTGCCTGATCACTTTTATAACGCCATGTTTGACACCAAGCTAGGCAAAAATTTCACACAGTACCCACTGAAGTTAGTTACTTTGTAGTCTATTCATCAAAATTGTGACGTGCATAGCCAAGCTAATAAATGAGCGTGTGTGTGTGTGTGTGTGTGTGTGTGTGTGTGTGTGTGTGTGTGTGTGTGTGTTGTATGATGCACTGATGCGTTGGCACTCCTTTATCATCAATGACGCCACACCTCGCAGCGTGTTTGACACGTCGCGTGTGCACTTCACAATTAATCTGGAATTGGGTTTCCAGAGAGAAAGGCATAGCAACAACTCTGTGTGTGAAAGAGTGTCAACTGCCGCACCAGATGTTTTTTTTTTTTTTCATGCCGAGTAAGCAAGTTAACTTCACGGACACGCTTGACATTTGCAATGAAAAAGACAAACACACACAAGAGGCCCTGTTAAGACTTTTTTAAAATTTTTTTATTTGGTTTAAAGATCAGAGGACAAACAAATGTTATTGACACGAGCCAGACACGTCTTTAGAGGGCATCTGCACCCTGTAAAAATTTGCAATAGAGAAATGTTGTCTTTATACAGATAATAATACTCAGTTTTGATCGTATTTATTACAGCAAACATCCAGTAACATGAATACACACGTACATACACATGCTACTTGTACAAATAACCTTATCCCGCTTAATGCGATTTGCACTTCATGAGTTGGGGGGTTACGAATCTTTGGGTCCCTCAAAAAGTACGTTTTATCTTATTATTATTGTTATTTGTCGTAGTAGTGTAGTTTGCTGTGCTGTAACTTTAGTTGGTACCATGAAAATGACTTGATAAAATGTAAGATTTTTTTTTTAATCTATTAAAAAAATATTCCAACTGTGCAAGATTTGTATAAAACTGCAGCTCATCGTTCTGACAACTGTTCCTCATATTTTGCCCTGAAATTATTGATGGTAACCAAGTAATTAGGGACAGATCTCAGTATGACACTCTGTATTTTTATACTGATCATGCAAACTTTTAATTGTTTTTTAGTTAATTACAGGAATATATACAGGAGAAAAATGTGTTGCTTTTATAGCTTTTGGTCTGATACATTATCATCTTCCACGTCTACTTATTCTTGAGTTTTCTTTTAAAATAAATTTGCGCCCTATGTATCCATTAAATGAATACTTCTCTGGCGGTTTCTAACAAAAGTGAGTATTGTAACGTACTGCATGCACATCTTAGACTAATGTGGCTGGGTGGCCATCCTGTATTTTACATTGCACCGGGGTTGCTTGTTTACACTGCGTGTCGTTCCCGACTACTCCGCTAGGAGGCGCACACGATTAAGTATTCATGTGTGTGAGAAGCGAAAGGAGACGCACTCAAACGCTTCAAAAAGAAGCCAAGCAGACGTTCATAAAATGGAACGAAACAGCAATCATGTGAACACGATTTACACGTTGGGATCATTAAACCAGTTGCATTTGTATTATTTTGCGCCCCCTCAAAAAACTCACAGTGCTTCAAATGAAAATCAATGGAATTAAATTGAAAAAAAACTAAACACTACGTTGAAAATTGTGCCATCTTATATTGCTGTTATTTTGACTTGATTTATGTTAGTATCTCAAGGTAAAACAAGTTTATACCTCTATTTTTTTGTTTTCCATTTTATTTTACTTTTGAGGTAAAGACTGAGAACTTTAGTTTGAGAGTCCGGCTGCATGTTTGCAGATCCCCACACGTTTGACCTCACTTTGACTCCTTCCTGCGACCAGTTGTTCCTGCGGTATGTCAAAAATGCACGCAAAACTCTTAGAAAAAAGTCATTTCATTTGATTTGTATGATTTTTTTTAAAAAAAGGATAACCCCCCTCTCAAAATAAAATCACACCTTAAACGCAGCACAATTCTGACTTGTATTATTTGTCTTTCAAGCTGATTTTATTGAAGCCATTGCTGTCTCGTTGAAGCCCCTCAACGAGGCTGGAGAAAGTGGAGCTTGGCGTTTATATAGACGCTAATTGAAGCCGCCTAATGACTTTCAAACGCCTTTGGCTTGACTTTACTGCCCGGCCAGCTGCTCATTGGACCCCCTTTTGTGTCCATGTCTAACTAGACCTCCCCTACAATTCCACTCCAAACACATTCGATACATTTCAACAAGTTAGTCGTGCTTAATATGCTTTAGAAAAAAAAAATCAAAATGGCGAATCATACTCACCAGTTATTTCGAACCTTGGTAATTCGGTGGGGCGTACAAGTCCGTCGTGCGTCCTGGTCGGCTCCGAGAGGAGGACTGAAGGAAGAAGATGAAGAAGGAGCCCTAACACGCCTCTTCCCCGCGTCCCTCGTCGCCCCCGTGCCGGCCTTCCTCGCAGCCGTCGTCCCTCGCTGAATGTGACGGACGACTTCCAGCCACCAAAGGAACAGCCTGGAACGTCCGCACCCGCCCCCACATTAATATTAGCATAACTATCATGATCAATAAATGCATATCTATACGCCAATTCCTATGATGACGTCATTCAGTGCACTACAGGAATGGCATTTATTGCACTGCACCTTTTCTCATATATATTATACAATATAAATAACGCATACGCTGGGGGGAATATGACGTCACTGGTTACAATCATGACTTTTTGAATTTTGCAGCTCTACGTGAATTTATATACTTGTAAAAATTATGACACCACTGTTTTAAAGTTCTACCTACCAATCTATCGAGCTATCTGTCCACATAAATCACACTTCGCACACTGTTCTAGCTGCATATTTATTAATTTATATACAGTATATTAATCCATATGATGGGAATTGTGAGGACAGAACTCGTCAAAGGCCTATCTTCATACAGAAATTACGTTTATTGCGGTTTCCTTCTTTATATTACAGGTAATAGGTTTGGAAAGCTGCCGAAGTCACGAGCGAGTGGAATCTGACTACATGCAGAAGTCACATTTATTGCATTTTATTACCTTAATGCAGGAAATATGACATCACGATCACCTTGTCACTAAATATCGCCTCCAAATTAGTTACATAAATGCAAATGAATTATGGCGTCATAGGTTAAAGTACGACCCAGTATATCACATTTATTCTATTTTACATACATGCTTACTACTTTATATGGAGTATCCTCAGAAATGTTAATTACGTCGTTCGAACGATCGATGTACAGCATTTTAGCAGTCCACACATTTATTGCACACGCATTTATTGTTTTTTACCAGCTCAGTTCCTACTTAATACGCATATGAGGAATTGTGGTGACGTCACTTTGTATATATCAAGCATCATAACATGAAGTTATGGGTGTTATCGTGTTTTTGCATATGAGAATAACGTAATTATTTCGGCAATAAAGTGCAACTCAGTGACAACTGAAAGTATTTCGAATGCATTTGAAGACAAAAAAAATGATTTGTAAGTATAAACAGATTAATTTAATGAGTTTGCGTTCAGTTTAATTGGGTGAATTGGGGTAAAAAAAAGTGAAATCACATGGGACAATTATTTTCAGTTGTGCATTTATTATTGTGCGTTTATTACAACCACACCCACTCCATCAAATTGACCATAAACAAGCACCGCATTGTTGTAAATAAACTGAAAGTGTGGCTTGGTGATGATGATGATGATGTGCTTGCTTTTGCACCTTCTCGCCAATAACCTCAGACCAATCAATCAATCATTCCGCGGATCGATCGCTGAGGGCAGCCAATCACAGCGCCTCCCTCCAACAGCGCCCTTCTGGGGCACGCTGTCATTGGCCAGTGTTCCGGCCTGGAATGGACTGACCGATTCGGCTCACCAGCAGGGGTGGAGGAGAGGGAGCCAGTTGGCAAACTACTTCCCAATTATGATTTAACAACAAATGAAGCCAACAAAACACCTTCTGTGAGGTATCTACACTCTATGAACTCATTCTTCAATGTTACACGCCGCAAAACCTGACATGAAAAAGCGAAACAAAACTTTGTCACACCAGGCAACGAGAGCCCCCGAAACCGGCCAGACAGGACCAGTTAGGTTGGCAAGAATGTCACGCAATAACACATCACATAACGCATTATTTTCCACAATACAGGGATGCTTTATGTTATTTAGCAGCGTTGAGTAGTGGCGATTGATTCGGCGTCACTTGCGACGACATACGTGACGAGGTTTTGCTAATTTTGGACGTAAATGAGCTCATCGGGTGCTTTAAAATGGCAAATTTTTCAATGGACTCTGGTTCCCCCCCAAGAGTGCGGACCACTTGCTGCAGTCCGTCTCCACTTGTTAAGGCCAGCAGTATTTCCGGGTTCGAATCCACACACACTCACGCGCACACACAAACGCCCGCTCATCCCATACAAACACGCCACACGGCTCCTTTAAGAAAAGCCTCGAGCCGGAATGATGAACCCTCCTCCTCCTCCTCCTCCTCTTCATCCACCACCACCTCCTCCTCCTCCTTCTCCTCCTCTTGAGCTCTTCCACTCGTCTTTGCATAAGTAAATCAAGCCGCGGGAGAGCGGGCAGCCAGCAGCCGCCGAAGCCAGGAAGAGACGCTTCATTCCCGGCCGCGAGTGGGAGCGCCGAGCCGGTGTTAGATCCAGCGGACCAAAACCAGTGAAGGAACCCCGCCGACGAGCAAGCAACGCCGGACACACGGGGGAGCCTAAAACGAACCATGAGAACCACCGGGTGTCTTTTAAAGCTTTGAATTTATTTTGGTTTTTGGGGGGTTGGGGGGTGGGGGGACTCGGAGCGAGACGGAGATCCGAGGATCGTCTCTCCTCGGCCGGGTTCAACTTGGCCGGCACCGTGGTGACTGGCTGGAGGGGAGAAGACCCCCAAAACCACAATCCCAAAGGATTTTTTTTATTTTGCATTATTTTTATGTTTGCTTTTTTAAATGTAACCCCACCTCCCTTCAATTTTTGTTTGGATTTGCTAATTTGCCGTGCAAGGCTGGCTTCCGAGTGGATTTAAGTGGGGCTGGAATCACGAACGGCGGGCAGCGAGGAGGCTTATGGCGCAAAGGGTACGTAGAACCAAAGCAAGCAGCCAAACACGCGTGGACTTCATGAAAAAAGTTACTTTTGGTGTCTTTTTTTTTTTTGGTAGGGGGGTACCAACATTACGCACGGACGACCTCGCTTTGCATTGCACCCCCCACCCTCCTCCCTACTCGCACACGCATCCATCTACACACTTCTTTCGTGGACGTGTTTTTGCAGATGACTTGTGACAGCACTGCGTGGATTCTCTTGGTGACAAATCTCAAACATTTGTCTCGTGACTTGAGATCTCCACGCACCCCCCCCCCCACGCCAACATCCCTCCACTATCTCATAAAATGCACCGAAACGTACGATTTAAAAAGTCATATTTCATAGAGAAATAACTACAAATATAATTTGATTGACACACTGTGTGCAAAAATCTGTCACGCTGACTTGCTTTTGCACCTGGTCGCCTGGAGGCTTGTTAGCCTTGTTTTCCAAATAACTTGCCAATCAACACTGGAAGACTTCGTTTAAAATGTTCTAAACAAAGCAACACTTTGTCCAAGGCAAGTGAAGATACTGTCTTGCAAAAAAATAAATTTTAGTGGCAAAGGTGTGTACTTATTGCACTATTTTAAGACTTTAAAGCTTCGGGAAAACTCTGCGAAAACGCACTTTATTACTGGCGAGTTAATTGTGCTAATTCCTCGAGTCCAATCTTTGACGTCGCGGCATCAAACAAAACCTACGTGTGAAAAAGTTTGATTTTAGGAAAAGCCCATTGCAGTTTGATGTTAAGCGGTTCCAAAAGTAACAATCTGTGGTTTGAATTAAATCACTTGGCATGTCAGCATCTTCGGCTCGAATACTTCCTTTTTTTCCTGTTTTAAAATGCTTAAAAAGTTGGTTTATTTCCTACGCTCGCTCCTTTTTTTAAAATTGAGGTAAACACTACTTGAATAATAATTACATTTGTGAGTGTAATAGTGCAATTCTCGTGTGTGTGTGTGTGTGTGTGTGTGTCGTTCCGGTGCAGTACGAAGACTTGCCCCACTACGGGATGGACGGGGTGGGCATCCCGACCACCATGTACGGAGATCCGCACGGCGCGCGCTCCATGCAGGCCGTGCACCTCAACCACGGGCCCCAGCTGCACTCGCACCAGTACCCGCACACGGCGCACACCAACACCATGCCCCCCAGCATGGGCTCGTCGGTGAATGACGCGCTCAAGAGGGACAAGGACGCCATATACGGGTACGGGGCTCCGGAGGGATTTGGGTGAGGGACTTCCGAGAAATTCGGCGGGGAGCTCGGCTTGCGTTGCCCGCGGACAGTGAGGGCTTGGCGGGCTTGACTCGCTCAGCGTGTCGCTGAGTCGGGGTGGATTTCTGTGTCCATTTTTTTTTTTAAACCGGACTGATTATATTTTATCATTTGCGATAATATACACTTTTATGCGTTGTTATAAAAGTATATTGCGCATTTAAATAATAATTTAAACCAAGTGGAAATAATTACAGTCTATTGCTAATTGAATTAATCGGAGCCCATTAAAAATGAAATCTGCGTTTCGTTCAGACTGGTGCTGGCTGTTCATGCACTTTTTTTATGTCTGTTTAGAATTTACGGAAAATGTATTTTTGTTACATAAAGTAACGGATTAAAATATATCTACCTCGTTTCCAACTTGTTAGCATTGCTCAACCTCACCCTATATCTTCTGTAGAAGAAATACACTAAACGTGCACACAACGCGCAGAATTGTGTTTCGCTTTGCAGCCTCCCTGCATGCATGAATGCATGCAGGCTCCCCACGGGGAAATCGCTGCAAAAATAAAACAATATATAAATACATATATGGGGGGTGGGGGGGCATGGCTGCCCAAATCCAGCCTGCAGTCGTCTTGACCCCGGCGCTGACATTTGCTATTGTGTGCTCATACTCTCTAAATGTGTGTGTGTGTGTGCGTGTGTGTTACTATGCAGGCACCCCTTGTTCCCTCTGCTTGCACTGATTTTCGAGAAATGTGAATTAGCGACGTGCACCCCCAGAGAGCCCGGCGTGGCGGGAGGGGACGTGTGCTCGTCCGAGTCCTTCAACGAGGACATCGCCGTGTTTGCCAAACAGGTCAGCAAGCAGCCCCAAAGCACTAAAAAAATCAACTTAGGAGAAAATTCTTCGGGGAGGGGGCTCAGTGTCTTTTACTGCCAGTGTTGATGATATGTGACGTGTTTTTGACATGATTATCACACGACTTCTTGGTTTTTAGATTCGTGCAGAAAAACCTTTATTTTCATCAAATCCAGAATTGGATAATCTGGTAAGTGTCTTAAAGTTGTTTTATTGTAACGTTTGAGTGTTTGCTCCTTTTATAGACTGCACTTTATATCACTAATATTAACCGCACGTGACGTCACTTT